CTCAGCGTCGAACTCACCGGTTCTTCATGCGTTCTCTGACACCGACTGGGCCGGTGATAAGTTTGACTTCAAATCCACCGGTGCTTATATTGTTTACCTTGGTTCTCATCCAATCTCGTGGTCTTCGAAGAAGCAACAAGGGCTATCTCGGTCATCTACCGAGGCCGAATATCGTTCTGTCGCCTCGACGGCGGCCGAGGTTCGATGGGTTAGCTCTCTCTTATCGGAGCTTGGTTGTGCATCCTCCTCAGTCCCGGTCATCTATTGTGACAATCTCGGTGCTACATACCTCAGTGCGAATCCGGTGTTTCACTCCCGCATGAAGCACACTGCCTTGGATTATTTTTTTTGTTCGTGGCCTTGTTGAAAGTGGTGATCTCCGTGTGTCGCATATTTCTGCGGCTGATCAACTTGCCGATGCTCTTACCAAACCGCTTCCGGGTCCTCCTTTTCTTCATTTACGGGTCAAGATGGGAGTCACCTCTGGTGCTCCATCTTGAGAGGGCGTATAGAGGATATATTTATAATCTTGTGCAATTATGATTAGGTTAACTCTCTTGTATAAATACCCTAATGTTGTTAATGATAATCAAGCCACTTTTGTATAAATACCCTATGGGGGATTACTAGTATATATCTGAAATGATATTCGGTATTTAATTTGTGTGTCGTCTACACATACATAATGCATATACATATAATTACGTATACGTATGTGTACGTATATAGAAGTGTACATGGTCGTTTACGTGTTACTTTGACTTTCTCTTGTACATAGAAACAGGGTGTTAATTTAGAAACAGGGTATTTTTAGAAAGGAAAATTTCAAAAAAAACTGAACTACTAATTTTTATAATGTTTAAAAAAGAGAATAAAAAATGCTTTATATTGTTAAATCAAAATGAGATTTTTTTTAAAAACGTTAAGATAATGGGATGATATTTTTTCAAAAGAGATTTGATATAATTTTTGTGTCTATATAACAAATATATTCACCCGTATATATATCGAATGAATTAAAAATAAATATAGATTTTAAATAATTTTATTAGTTTTAAAATTAAATATAATATGTTTTGTTTTTAAATTTATAATTCATATTATTAAATAAAAATGTGTTTTTTGTAAATGTAGATAATGGGATGATGCGTTTTTTTGAAAAATAGTTTGTGGATAATTTTTGTGTTTAGATTTTTATAGGTTATAATATACAATTTTAATATAGTAGAAAATATTAACCCACAACTGCATTAAATTATCTAAATAATAGATTTTATTATTATAAAAATATAATTTATGATGAATATAATGTAATTAGCTACAACACACATATCTAGATATCAAATACTAATGATGGATAAGAAATAACCCTTTCTGCATTAATTAAAATAAATTTATAACATAGCTTTTCTTTTATATTGATTAGAAATCTACAACACACATATCTAGATATCAAATACTAATGATGGATAAGAAATAACCCTTTCTGCATTAATTTCTCTCAATTATGAATTTATCTATTAGAATAACAAATAATTTATTTTAAAAAAATAAACACATATATTTTCTAGCAAACAAATTTTATATATAAGGAGTATATCATGCGGATTAAAATTTATAATTTATATTTGTTGATCCCGACGATGTGAAATTTTGAAATTCAGATAGAATTTCGAACATAAATTTTTTTTGGTTCAGTCGAGGTTTGTGTTCTACACAATCTTCTAAAGACGAAATTGCTCCGTTATTAACTGGTTACGATTTTGGCAATCGTCTCCAAGATATAATGACTTACGATTCTACAAAAGCACCACGTGCTTAAGAGAATTTAGCGAACTACAAAAGTTCAAAACTCTTTAGAGAAAAAGTTTGAGATTTTTTCTTTCTGAAAAGAAGAAAGTACTCAGAAAAAATAGGATGTAGAAAATGATCCTATAGGCGTCCTATTTATAATATTCGGGGGTTGCTACGAAAACATGTGAAGGAAGAGGCTCCATCCTTTTAACCAAACAGTTCAATCCGAATCATTCTAAAAGGAAACGTTTCGTCAAGAACGCATTAATTCGGAGTCCAATCGTCCCACATCGATGCACAACTTTAAATTTTAAATCTCACACTGAAATGTTATTCTCTGAATCAAATAGTCCCAAATGGAACTTTCAATTCAAATTTTAAACGTTCTCCCAAGGATGAAGAAGTGGGACCAAACCTTTTTAGCTTTAGTCAACCTTGAGATTTAATATTGTTGACTTAATGGGAGCTCTTTTTATAAGGAAGTGCCAAAACTTTAGATGTGGGACAAACACACATATAAAGAAGCTTCATTCCTTGTGTTTTGTCATTTTTCCAATGTGGGACAAATATTCTTCCACCACATTTTTACATTTATTTTGGATAACCACATTTAAAAATTAAATTTTCATTCACCACAGATTGATTTTAAGAAATTAAAAATGTTATAATGATCTACTCTTTAGTAGATTTCAAATATAACATTATCCAAATTTTCTAACAATATTAGTAAATCAAAATAATTTTTTTGTGAAAGTGGGATAGCGGGATGACGTATTTGTTTCGAGGGTTGTGAATAATTTACGTTTTATATTTTATGAATTATATTATAGAACTCATGATTAGAATGTAAAATATCAAATTAATGTTTTTGATAAATTTTATTATTCGATAAAGAGTTAAATTTTTTTTCGCAAATCGATTGTTACCTAAAAAAATTAACTATCGTAAGTTTGTAAAGTATAGTTTTAAACAATAAGATATATAAATTTACATTAATTATTTGGGAATACGATTTTATTTTTTCATTAAAGAAATCTATAAGTATTCTAAAAACTTGACAATAATTACGTACACTCCTATAAATATCTCTATATTCAGTCCCACGTATGATTTTATTTTTTATTAAAGAATAATCTATTTTCTTTGTCAAACAATAAATATATATAAATATATTAATGAAAAAATGGACATGTATATTGTGTATTGTTTGATTATGTCATATATTTAAGTCAATAGATTTAAGTTATGTATGATTATATGTATCTTCTTTTTTGTACACTTATTTTATGAAGAATATTTATATTGATAGTCTTTCTATATAGTTTTGTAAGTATATATTTTTGGTATTGGATATCTTTGATAGTTGTTGTATTGTTGTGTTTACGTATAATTTTAATATATTCTATAGGTAATTCAATATAAAAAAAAACTAATGAAAACACCCATAACTTTCAATTATTAATTAAAATCTAAGGACATTGATATGTATTAAAAAAATTTTAGTTACTCTAACCTCTAACGGTTGAAGGTAGCACTTGTATATTTGCAGTTAAGAACGTGTTTTGTTTTAATATCTTTTTTTACTGTCGTTTTGTTGTTATCCATTAATAGTTTTTTTTTACTCTAAGGTTTTAAATAATGAATTTTAAGTATGATATTTAATTTTAGTAAGTTGCATTGAAAAGTTTATGATTTTTTTAGATTTGTCCCTTATAATAATAAATAAAAATAGTAAAAACAAATAATGGCACATACATTTATATATATACACACATATATACATACATATATACACATAAATAAATATATACATACATACATACATACATATATATACATATGCATGTATACACATATATACATATATATATATACATATATACATATATACACATATATACACATATGTATATGCATAAATATGTATACATATATAAACACACATACATATATATATATGCATACACATATATATACACATAAACAGATATATATATGCACACACATATATAAACATATCTATATATATACATTTGCGTATATATATATACATACATACAATGGTGCTTGCATGAGAGAACATAACCATAATAAGATAAAAAGAAAAGAAATATCGAAAACAATATTGCACATTGTACAATAGAATTGAAGTTTCAATCAATTCAACATTCATAAGTTCAAGATACCGTAGCGTAAATTAGATTATCTCATAATTCTAGACTCTCAAATATTATGATTGTTTCTCCTATCAAATAACAACTAATCAAGAGTTCATCATATTCTTTGATATTAGAAGCACAAAAAAGAAAATAATAAATAAGAAGAAAATATAATGAGTACCCTGAAAAGAATTTTATTTCTATGTATTTACCGAAACTCGTTTCTCGCACCGTCCTTATCGACTTAGAGCTTGGACCATTGAACCTTGAAACATCCAAATTATTCCAATTTGCGGGTCCACAATAGCAAATTAGCATAGAAGACATGTTTTCATAAGGAGACAAAAGGTAAGACAATGAAAAAATGAGAACCTTTGAGAAATGTCATGAAACTCTCTTCACATATAAGTAAGATTAATAATATTCGAATATGAATCAACTGGATGCCGCATCCTTTTAAATTAACATAAACTATATAATTAAAAAATTCTATTTTTAATAAGAATTTTTAAATTAAGCTAATACATTAAATATAAAACGTTGTTTATTTTTAAAAATAATCTATTTAATAAATGCAAAGAAATAATGGTAAATTAAAATTAAGATATTAATTTAATAATAATTTTTTTTTCTAAAATTTTTAATTAGATGGAGATGTGTTTTTTTATATATATATATATATAATATAATATAATAATAATAATAATAATAATATATAATATATATATATATATATATTATATTAAGCAGAGAGCCGAAACAACTGTCGGTACAGAGCAGAAGACAGTATCATCTGAGTTCAATAAGCCTGATGAGGGGACTTCTTCTTCTGGTAAGGAGGCAATGAGCGCGAATCAAATGGCAGCTAAGGCATTACAGCTGCGGATGAAAGGAAAACACGAAGAAGTGCAGAAACTTATGATGAGAAAATCTTTAAGTTTAGTAATATCCTCTCACCTTGTTCCTGTATCTATTTTTGAAACCTTTTAAACTCACAAAGTTCTGTGTTCAAGTGTAAGCTCTGAATTTTAACAACTAACTGTGGAAGAGTACGTTTTCCTCTATGCTTTCCCAGGAGGAAGCAGACAGATTGAAAGCAAAGCAGGCTATTGGAGATGATTCTTCCAAAGAGCGCGGATCCAGAACTGCAGCAAGGTAAATTTGCTCATCTATTGAAGCTTTTACCGATATCAGATCGTATTCGGCTCGTAATTCTCTCTCTCCGTTCATTATAAATACTTTTGTTTTCACTTCAGATATGCCGTCCAAGATGTGAATGCTAGAAAGAGGGGTGAAGAAGATAACACAGATAGACATTTAGCCAGAAGCATAATGCAGAACAAACGGTACAGTGTATCCGGTCAGGCTGATGATGAGTATGACTATGGAGAGGCTCCAAGTAAAAAATCCAGAAAGAGGGGCTCATCCAGTCATGATCACAGTAACATCTCTGAAAGGGATAATCGCGTAAAACGCATCTTGACCCAGCAAGAGCGTTGCCGCTTCCGTTGTGCCAGGCCACTGCTGTGTCTTGCCAATGCAGGTATTGACATTGAACATAGAAATTCAACCTCAATTGGTTCACAATGTAGGTGCTCTTAGATTGCGTTCTGATTGGTCCCGATCAGGCCTAGTAAAAATGAAAGCGATAATATATTTGTTTAACAGACAATTTTTGATTGCCTTTTATTAATAACAACTGCTGTATATATATACAGCACTAGTGGAGTAACAAACTCCTACAATACTGGAGATACACGTCTCCTACATGCAAGGGAAATGGAAAAACTATAAAGACAATGTCAAACCCACTACCAGAGTCTTGACTTATTCAACAAATTAAATTTGAATACGTCATGCTAAAAACTTGGGATTTGGTCTTCGTACTCGACCAGACCGTCGGTTCAATGTCTCGCCAACATTGTCTTCTTCTTCACCCGATAACCTTCTATCAATACCGCCCCCGCGGACAGCAACCTTGTCCCCAAGGTTGAGACTAGGAAAGCTTTGTTGCAGTTGCTTCGAATTTTCCCAAGTTGCATTCTCACGAGACAAGCCGTGCCATTGAACCAAGCTCTCATGTTCAAAACGAGGTCCACGTTTAACCCAACGTTCATCAACCACAAGTGCAGGCCGAAGTATCAATTCTCCTTCATCGCTAAGTTCTGGTAACTCTTCTGATACATTTGAAGCTGCACCAACCTTCTTTTTGAGAATAGAGACATGAAAAACCGGATGAATACGTGATCCTGGTGGTAATTGCAATCGATAAGCAACCCGACCGACACGTTCAACAATCGGAAATGGCCCATAAAACTTGTTAGCAAGCTTATGAGTTGTACGATGAAAGAGTGAATGTTGTCGGTATGGTTGGAGCTTCAAGAATACCCAGTCTCCCACCTGAAATTCAACATCACGTCTCTTAGCATCAGCAAGCTGCTTCATTCGATTTTGTGTCGTCTGAAGATTGGATTTCAATTCGCGGAGCAGCTCATCACGAGCTGCTAATTGTTGATCAACCTCATGGACTGGTGAAGTGCCAACATGATACCGAGGGACTATCGGAGGCAGTCGACCATACTGAGCTTGAAACGGAGTCATTCCGGCAGAGGAATGATACGTGGTATTATACCAAAATTCAGCCCATGGAAGGAAACGACTCCATTGACGAGGATGTTGGTTAACGAAACACCGAAGATATTGTTCAAGACATCGATTGACAACCTCCGTTTGACCGTCGCTCTGCGGATGGTAAGCGGAGCTCATTTGGAGACGAGTGCCAGACATTCGCCAAAATTCCTTCCAAAACTGACTGATAAACACAGGATCACGGTCACTTACAATTGATCTTGGTATTCCATGGAGCTTGACGACCCCGTCTACAAACTTTTCTGCGACTGTTCGAGCTGTGTAAGGATGAGCTAGCGACATAAAGTGTGCTGCCTTACTCAAGCGATCTACTATCACCAAAATAGCATTCTGACCACCGGAACGAGGAAGGCCATCGATGAAATCCATCGTGATATCTTCCCAAATTTGACAAGGAATCGGCAGGGGTTGCAAAAGACCGGCCGGGGAGAGAGTCGCTGCTTTTGCTCTTTGACAGACATCGCAAGCGGCGACGTAATCTTTCACTGATCGATACATCAATGGCCAATAAAACTGTTGGGCCAGTCTTTTAAATGTGCGTAGTACGCCCGAATGCCCTCCCATAGGCGAATCGTGGAACTCTCGAAGGAGTAACTGGATGATATCAGAATTGGGCGGCACCACAACACGATTTTTATAATAAAATAAGCCATCACGTTGCAAGTAAGGCTGACCTGGTTCTGTTGAAGCAAGCTTTGCCACACGGTGAAAGTATGGGTGATGTGTAGCTTCCTCCTTGAGCTGGTCCCATAATGTTGCATGTGAGGTAAACATAGCTTGGAGAGTGGAGTGATTGTTGACACGTGAGAGTGCATCGGCTGCGGCATTTTCTCTACCTGGTCGGTAAACAATTTCATAATCAAACCCAACCAATTTTGCCAACCACTTCTGCTGCTCCGGAGTCATGATCCTTTGCTCGAGAAGATATCTCAAGCTTTTCTGGTCTGTTTGGATAATAAAATGTCTACCCAGAAGATATGGTCGCCACAGACGTACTGCCAACACGATCGCCAACATCTCGCGCGCATATGTTGACCAATTTTGTTTGGAAGTTCCTAATGCTCGACTCATAAAGGCAATCGGTCGTCCAAGCTGAGACAGGACAGCCCCAACTCCTTCTCCAGATGCGTCTGTTTCAATGATGAACGGCGTCGTAAAATCAGGTAAAGCCAGAGTAGGGGTACTTGTTAACGCCGTCTTCAGTGATTGGAAAGCGTCTTCTGCATCTGGAGTCCAACTGAATTGACCCTTTTTCAAGAGATTGGTGAGTGGCTTAGCAATAACACCATAATGTTGCACAAATTTTCGATAATACCCGGTAAGCCCTAAAAATCCCCGAAGTTCAGTGACATTTGTGGGTCGCGGCCATTGGGTTACTGCGGCAATCTTCTTCTGGTCCACCTTGACACCGTCTACAGAGATGATATGCCCCAAATATTCAAGCTCTTGACGCCCGAACTCGCATTTCTTGAGTTTGACATAAAGTCGATGGTGACGAAGAACATCGAATACCTCTCGAACATGCGTTAGATGTTCCTGCCAGGAAGGACTATAGACCATGATATCATCAAAAAAGACCAGTACAGACTTACGAAGAAAAGGTCGAAAGACTGCGTTCATGAGTGCTTGGAATGTTGATGGAGCATTACAAAGGCCGAATGGCATCACCAAATATTCGTAGTGACCATTGTGTGTCCGGAATGCTGTCTTGTGAATATCTGGTGAGTGAAGCCGCACTTGATGATATCCTGCTGTGAGATCCAATTTAGTGAAATATTGTGCTCCATGGAGTTCATCCAACATATCATCAATGGTTGGAATTGGAAACCGATCCTTTATGGTTGCTGCATTGAGAGCTCGGTAATCTGTACAGAATCTCCAAGTATCGTCTTTCTTTTTCACCAACAGGACAGGAGAAGAGAAAGAGCTTGTACTTGGTCGGATCAGCCCCGATTGCAGCATGTCTTCCACTTGTCTTTCAATTTCATCCTTTTGGAAATAAGCATATCGATAAGGGCGAACGTTGATTGGTTCTGTGCCTTCCTTGAGCGTGATGCGGTGTTCGATCTCCCGTTGAGGCGGTAATTGTGTAGGCTTTTGAAATATGTCTTGGAACTCTGTTATGATGCGTTGAAGGTCTTGGTGAATTTCACCGTCTTCAATATGGCTTTGAATGGAGCATAGGATAAACAAAGGATGTCCTTGGCGAGCTTCTTTTGTCACCATCTTGGGTTGGGCTTGTTGAATCTTCTTTTTGTCAATTCCCTGTAACTTTCGTGTGTTGTTCTCCCACTGAAACTCCATTGTAAGTTTCTTCCAATCACATATAACAGGGCCCAAACTTTCTAACCATTGGATTCCCAAGACTAAATCCAACCCCGTCAAAGGAAGGGCATAAAGATTTATAGTGAATGAGATACCTTGTAGTTGAATTTGTACTCCATCATATCTTCCTTGACAAACCAGAGATGCACCGTTTGCCACACGGACCGTGAATGAATCTGTTGGTGTAATTGACGGTAGTAATTCCATCGCAACTCGTTCACTAATGAAGTTATGTGTCGAACCACTATCGATCAAAGCGATGAGGTTAGATCTACCAATGGAAGCTTCTACCCGCATAGTATTCATGGTACTCCAACCTGCTAGTGCGTGAAGAGAAATCTCTAATTCCTCATCGGCCAACTGTAATTGTTGTTCTTCGGCGGCATCGATCTGACTCTCAAGCAACAACAAGTGGGGTTGTTTACAACGGTGTCCCGGTGTAAACTTTTCATCACAATTAAAGCAGAGGCCTTGGCTTCTTTTTCGTCTCATCTCCTCCCACGTTAATTTCTTTGCAGGTGTCGTCGTCGGTGCCTGCTGTGTGGACTGCAAATTAGTTGCTCGAGATGGTCCCGTGGGAGTCCAACGGGGCTTTCTCTGCCTGTCTATCTGTTCAGCCTGCATCCTTGCGAGGCTGATTGCTTCTTTCAATGTCTTCGGCCGAAACATACGAATACCATCGGAGATCGACGAATGGAGACCACCCATGAAAGTTCCGACAAGAGCCTTCTGAGTCCACCCTTCAACTCTATTCATTAGTCGTTCGAATTCTCGTTGATATTCATGTAACGATCCTGTTTGTTTGACTCTTGACAGCTCCTCATCGAAGTCTTCACTCTCCGTTGGCCCAAATCGGGCCCATAGTTCCTCTTCAAAAGTTTTCCACTGAATTTCCATTCCTTCCTGTGTATACGAGCGTCGAATAGCTTGCCACCACTGATTGGCTTCACCTCCCAAATGATATGCAGCCATTGGTACTCGTTGCTCTATTGGCGTAGCTTGATAAGAGAAGAACTGTTCCACCTTATCAATCCACTCCGTCGGTTTTCTCTATACAGCACGAAGCAGCCACGAGGACGGTGGACGACAATGTTTGGGAAGAGATCCGATGTTTGCAAAACAAGGGAAAGAGGTTGTGTTTCTGGAGACAGTGATGGGTTTATCGCAGCAACGCCGGCATTGTATGATTGAGTGTATACCGTTGCCTCAGGATATCGCAAAGGAAGCGCCTCTTTATTTCAAGAAGGTCAGGGTTCTGTTTTATTATATCCCTCCTCCGTCCAATATCTTGTTAGTAGAATTATTGGGTTTCTTACTCTTAGTTAGCTGTATGAAAATCTTTCAGGCCATTGATGAGGCTGAGGACGAGTGGAGTCAGCACAACGCGAAGAAGCTAATCGACACAAGTGTGAAGGGTCTCCGGAACTCGATTCCAAAGGATTTCCCGTACTTCCACGTGGAGTTTGGCCTAAACAGAGGGTTTGTCCACGTGATCGATGATGAGAAACAGTTCAACGGGAATCTCGGAATGAACGTCATAAGAGGGATGCTTCAGTTGCCGGAGGAAGATATGTACAGACCGAGAAGGTATGAGACCGAGGAGTCCCAGAAGCAGGCGGTGGTGAGCTTCTCCCGTGAATGGGAGCCCTTTGGCTGGACGAAACAACTCGGGTGAAAGTGAAAGATCTCTCGTGCTTTTCTAGTCACATTCTGGCGAGGATAATGTTATAGTCATATACAACGGGAGGATTCGGCAGCTGTACGTATGGTTCATATTGCTGCGTCTTCTTTTTTAATCTTTCCATTTATAGCAAGTGTCCCTTTCATGTGGTGAGTCAAAAAGTACTGGAAAAGGAGAAATTGATGGACTTGTCTGTGCTCGCGTTTCGAATTTTTCAATTTTTATTTAGAAAAATCCCTTAATTGTAAGCATTTTGTACAACTGTAAAATTTTAACAAATTGCTTACTGTCAAGACCGTTTGCTCGCAAAGAGCATACGTAATCAGAGAATTGCGTGATTAATCGGGAAATGGGTTCTTTCGCGGCACCACGTGAGAAATTTAAAAAAAAAACAAACAAACAAAGATACATATGTATACACACAGACATACATGCATAATTTGATAAAAACACGTATATGCACATACTTACGTGATTTTGTATGTGTTCGTATATACATATGGGTGTGGTTTCCGTGTGTGTACATATATTTGTAATTTTTTTCTCAACCCCGTAACCGAAGTGCTTCACTACCGGTAAGGAGGGGAAAAAACAGCTGAGGGATTCATTCATATGCGAATCAATCGTTTGAATCAAAGTATGCGTACTCTATACGTTATGTGTGGAATATCGTAAAACAAAACGATTTTTTTTTTGGTAATCAAAACAAAACGATTATTAAATTAATTAACTCGTAAAGATGCGCAAGAATCAATCAATAATCATTTTTATCTGTAACTAATTAGACAACTACGACCTACTACAACACAAATCATATGTAGCTTAGTAAATAAGTGAACCAATCAACCTATACATACATACATATATATATATATATAGTACACGTATGTATGGATGTATACAAAAAAAAAACACGAGGCGGGTTTAGGGACCGGTTGAGATGTGGTCGTCGTTCTGGCGATTCTTATCTCTTTCCTTGACATCAACACTTGCGGTGATGTTGGCCGGAGCTGATTCGATATCTCCGATGGATTTTTGCCGGAGACGGGGTCCGTCCGCCGGAAAATCTTGGCCGCCTAAGTCTCCTCTTCCCGGAAAGTTGTTGAGTTGTCCAGATTGCTCATTCTTTCTCTTCGCCTTCATGTGCCATTGCTTTAGTGCCTTTGATGTTTGCTCGTCGAACACCGATCGTTTCATCGTTGAACCCATCTGCAAATATTTTCAGTTTTTTTTCCCTCTATTAGATGACTGATGTAAGAGTTTTCAAATGTGGGTTTATGGCAGAGATATGTGATATATATATACACACACACATAGAGGAAGTGTAATGTGAGTTGGACCAACCTGAGTGACAAGGGCATATAGAGGAAGTGTGATGTAACTGCAGAGGAACTGAACTCCGACGCTGTAAAAGGGTAAGAATATTGACTCGTTAGACAAGCATGGAAACCTTTCACGGTGCCTTGTATCTGAAGAAACCGGACTTCCTAGGTTACATATTTGAAGATCTGGAGAAAGGGCAACTTACCCAAGACAGACTCGTGCGATTATAAGACCGAAATGGTGATGAAAACACGATCTCAACCCAAACTCATACTGCACCAAGATTCAGTAACTCATCCTTCAACTTCACGCCAGAAAATGAAAAAACGAAGAGCAAAAGAAGAAAAGAAAAAGAATAAAGAGAGTGGTTTATGTTACCCATATCCAGAAGAAGTTTGGATTCCTGATGTTCTAGGGATCATTTTTATGTATAACTTGTTGAGTTTGGTGCGAAAATTGGGAACCCGAAGTTCCTGATGCGCCTAGACCGAACGGTCCAGGCATGGATCGTCCGTTCTAGGGTTTGCAAGGTTTCGGGGGAAGAAGACGAGCCCAGACCGTCCGTTCTGGACCTGGACCGTCCGTTCTGACCTAAAACGTCCGTTCCAGCTTCGGCCAGACCGAAGGGACCAAGCCACCAGACCGTCCGTTCTAGACGGGTAGACCGTCCGTTCCAGACGGGTAGACCGTTCGTTCTGGACCCCTTTCTCCCCGTTTTGGTTCGTTCTTTCGGATCGAACGAAATTCGATGCAACCGACCCCTATACGTGACCTACCTAGACCCGTTTTCTACCCGAACCTCATGAAACTTGAATGAAACCGACTTACGGTAAGTAAAACCTTCGGAACGAGCTGAATTGGTAATCCGGAATGGTCGGACCCAATTTGATCGGACCGGAGGATAAAAAGAATAAAATGAATGTAAAGGAAATGAGATAACCAAAATAACAAGTAAGGACGTGTGTATACCCGAGTAGGTATAATAATATATGAATGTGTGTGATTGGGGAACCGGGTAGTTGGCATGGCGTGAGACTTTATTCCGGAGGGCCGGGATAAGGTTGAGCGTGTGATTGTAGCGGGTTTGAGGTGATATCCCGATGGTTGCATTGTTGGGATCTCCTCTTTATGATCTCTGACCCGGGTCGGGTTTCATATTGAGGAGACATGATTGTGATTGGTTGCCCACGGGCAGAGCTTGGAGCCGATGATACACGTGATAGTCTTGAGTGATTCGGCTATCACGGGGTTGAGGAAATCCTACGGTTACACTGTAACCGCGCCAACGTTCCACTAGCTATGGAACGGGATCGGGATTGAGTGATTCTCCCGGCAGAGACTGGCAATACATTTACCCGTGACTCGGGATTGAGCGATTCTCCCGACGAGGTTATGCGAAGGAACTCAGAAAGACCTGAGCTCGGGTCCAATGAGTTTCTCCGTGGCGGACGGCCGGCGAGAGGTTGTCAGTTGTGTACTGACTTCGCTCGACATAGTCGGTGGTGGCCTGGAGGAGGCACCTGGCGCTCTGGCATCGAGAGGTGACATCGATGTCAGAGGGGATGGTTGATGTATTATGTTTTATGGAGTAGGGATTTGGATGGCGTGTTTTATTGTTCCGGCGATTGCCGAGGAGAGCGGGGGATGTGCGTTGCACATGGAGCGTCCTTACCCACGTGTGTGATGCACACGTGGAGATGATTTGACGGTACGATTATTACTGAGAGACCCGATGGGTCGAGTTATGACTCGTGTACATATGTCCTGGACTGGTGAGACCAGATCCTTGCGGTATCCTATGTGTGCGATGCACATAGAGATGATTTGACGGTTAAGTCCGATGACTTGTCATTTGGACTGAATGTGTGTGATAAGTGAATTATTTGTGCGATTGAGTGAACGATGTTTGATGGCATGGAGTGTGTATATATATGTATACACCTATATGTACCGTGTGCATACTATTGATTGTGTTTGGCCATTTGCAATTTGAGTATGATCTTCGGGTCTAACCCGAAGTACTCACTAAGCACGTAGCTTATGGACGTTGTTATGCAACGTTTCAGACACGGAGCAGTATTGGCAGCAGCAGGACGAGGGTACTGGTGACGTGTGAGGAGCTATCTGGATCATGTACTTTTCTTTCTTTGGACTTATGTTGGCTTGTACGGGCGGTGACCTGACTTTGTATTTTATTACAGTTACCGTCCTTATGTTGGTGTGTATACTACTGTACGTGGGTTTGTAAACATATACTGGTTTTTGCGCTGCGTGTGTAATAAAATAAAATGTTTTTAAATTCCCGCTATTTTATTATATATTTGGGCGTCCATGTGGCACAACTCGTGAGCGGGAGACGGGTTACGGGTGTCACAGCTTTTGGTATCAGAGCAGTTCTTTCCACGGGAAGAAATTGCTTGAAACCCACAGAAACACTGTTTATGATTTCAAACGATTTTTGAAAGGAAGGTTTTCAAACGTAT